TTTGTAATCCTGTTGCTACTACTGCATTAATTTGTAATCCTGTTGCTACTGGTGATTAAAAACTCTTTATTGCTGCTTGCATTCTATCATAGAAGCAACAAGTTACCAAGTTTGTTTTAGTATTACAGTAGCATGTAGTACTAATTTTCAGAGGATAATGGCATTATCTCATATCGGTACCTTCAAGTCCGGTGAAGTGATAGGAACTTCATCTGGTGACCAGAAGATGTCACTGTTGATACATGAAAACAAAACAGCAGCCCTCAAGTTTTCTCCTTAGGTCAGCAGCATCTCTTTCAGAAGAAAATGTGAAAGTAGTCAAAGCTTTATCTTGCTTGTAAAATTTAAATCTGAAAGCAAATATATGTATGTCAGCATATGGTGTGTAAGGAATTTTTTATGAGCCCTGTGAATTTATCTCATTAGGATAGTAGTAATTATTCCAGCTCAGAGGTCCTGAGCTCCGGCTTTGGCTGTCCAGGGGAGAAAGAATCTCTGCTTCTGGCAAATGTAAATTCTAATTTCGTGCTCCCAATGAGCTCTGAGGTGCTGTATGACATTTCTCTTGACTGGGTTTTGATACAAAGAAAAAAACTTCAGCTGTAAAGAGATAAAATGTGGCATTTATTTTTCCATATCTATTTGGTGTATAAAAAGCCAAGTAAGTTAGCAGCTACCTACATTGAAGGTACATTGAATTCATTAATATGAAAAGGTCTTGTATGTTTTCTTGTTGTTAATGTTTTCCTTGTTTCATGAAAATAAAGTATGTTTCTATTCCTTACAGCTGGAAACAATGTGGAGGTTGATGAATCTTTATTCCAAGAAATGGATGATTTAGAGTTGGAGGATGAAGAGGATGACCCTGACTACAACCCTGTTAATTTAGATAGTGATTAGACTTATTTGAACTGATTCTGTCATCAGTATGGACATATGTAAGGAGAGAGGGGCAAGCAGGAAAGCCACAGCATCTGTGGTTTTAGTAATGTGTATCGTTTTTCTTTTTTCTTAATTTTTTTCCAAAGAAAAAAACAACATTTTAAATCCAGGAGAATGGTCTTCTGATGACTTTCAGTATAAATAAATTTACTTCAATATTTCAAATGAAAAATTTGAGAAATACTGATCTGTCTGAAAACGCTTTTCTATTTTCTCTTATTTTTTTCCTCCGTACTTCTGTAATTGTCCTTTGAAGGGATGTGGCAACATGCAAGATGGGAAGATGTTACAGCAAGCACTAAACACACCTGCATCTGAATGCTGAGCAGCTGTTCTGCTGTCTTCCACCTGGGATAAACATGGGCAGCTTTGGTGAATAAAAGGGATCACATACTATGCAGGGTTTTTTTTTTTTTTGTTTCTTCCTCCTGTGGAATTTTTTAATAATTCAAGTCAGTTCTGGTGCCCCAGTTTATCAGCTGTAGATAGACAGCACTAGGCACCTTTGTTGTATAGCCTTATTAAAGCCTAGTGGAAACCATTTCCATACAATTCAATTGTTTTTCCATAGTCATGAATAATATTTTCAAAATGGTGAATTCAGATCAGTAGGGGGGAAAAAAAATCTGAATGTGAAGTCCTCTTGAAGTTTGGTTGATTTGTTCAGAGAGGGCTTGGGTTTTTTTGAATGTGTGCCTCAATGAACTTCTATGAAAAATCAAAATCCACATTAGGAAGATGAGTTTGCTTTTGGCAGCGAACTGTGTCAAAACACTATGAGTGGAGTGCACATTACAGCAGCAGGATTTATAGAGTGCTCTATAGATTTGAATGTAACTGGTGTAGTTTCAGAGGCATTGTGTTGGCAGCCTGTGAAGGTTAGTTAGCACAGAATGCAGTAAAGCTACACATCAACTTGGGGATGTTGCCCATCCTTCAGAGTTGTTTCTGGAGCTAACAGCTGTTAGACTCCTCTCTTACCACCTCCAAACAGCCCAAACACTGCAAGAACTGCAGTGTTTAAACATGCTGTGTTTGAAACTGCAGCGCTAGAAGGATGATGGTGTCAAAAGACAGCTTTCCAAATAGAGAGACAGGCACTTCAACGATTAAACACTGTGTGCTGAATTTTAAACACTGTTAGTAGACTGCCTTAACTGTGCCAGCTTCAATCTTTGAAGAGGGTTGCACTAAAATATCACATTGCTTAGAGGAATAATAAATTTATGAATTTTATTATTTGAAAATTCCATATTCAAGATGAGAAGTTTAATTATGAAAATAATTTAATGGTTATAATATTCTCTGCTCATATCGCTCAAGAACATCTGTTTTGGATGACTTCCTTTAACCTGGTTTTTTTTTTCCTTTTTTTTTCATTCAAGGTGAACGAATTTCTAGTAGATAGAAATAAGTGTTCAAGTACCCTGTAAATACTTTTATAAATTAACCATGTGCCTTTGTTCCTACTGTTGTCCCTATGTTCTTTTCAATTTTGGCTACTGAGAACTCTAGATAAGCATCTGTGTCTCAATGACAATGCTTTATGTTTCAAAGCAATAAGCAGAATCTGTACTCCAGCAGAGTTACCAGATACATTAAAAGGATTGTGAGCTAATGTGATATTAAATCTTGTCTTTTCCAAAGATACAGTTGGATTGAAAGCTTCATAGTTACTACATCCAGCTTCCTGTGTAATTGCTAGGATGCTTTAAAATGCTCTTCAGCACTGAACTTATTTCTGGCATGTCTCAACTCAGCTGCATAAAGCCCCATTTAATTCCTAAGGCTGCTTTCCATTTCCAGCTATGTATGTTTAAAACTGGTGGGTTTTTCATAAAATGAGTGAATTGGATCTCTCTAAATTTGGACCAAATCAAAGAATCGTGTAGTCTGTGCAAATGTGGTAATTAGAAAATTTTCCAAGTGGATCACTGATAAGTCATCTGCATATGAAAAGAAGTTTCTCATGAATTATATTTCTAGAATTTTGAAATTTTCTAGTCTGTTTTCACACTAGCATATTTATTGGTTTTCATGCAGAGAATGTATAGCTTAAAAATGTTGAAATTATGTAAAACAAGTTAAAATGTGAAAATGTGTTTTTGCTGTTATATTTCAAAGCAGAGGAAATAATAAGGCTTGAAGTGACAAAAAAATTTCATAAAGTCTGTTCCTCCAGGTCTTTGGAAGAAGTTTTAGTGACTCAGTCTGAACTGCAGATTTGTTTAGCTTTGTTAGCAATTAACATCTGTGAAATAAAAGGGAATTTGACTGAGAGTAAGCCTGGCTGTGTGTGTTAGTTTACTGAAGTGAATGGAGAGAAGGGGTGTTTTTCTGGAAAAAGTTTAGCTGGGATATTTAAATTTGCTTATGCACTTTGGATTAGATTGAAAACTAATTATTAATTGAATAAAATCCCATTTATAAACTTCGACAAAATTACAGTAATTTAAAATCCTGGTGCTGACAACCTTTTTTGTATATTGCTTTTAACTGCCTCAGTCCAAAGCATGCACTGTAATGCATGGAGGCAATAGTGAGTTGCAACACTGCGCCTTGACCAGAATAAATTTAGTTTTGAACAGGCTGAGTGTTTTGAATAGAGCTCTGTTAAAAATCAGAGCATGGTGCTTACCACATCAAAATGCTGTAAAATCTCAAGCATACTGCAAAGCCTAGGATTTTGTATCCAAATTATGATTGCAGTTGGGATTGGCATCTGTTGGGAGTTGGGTGTCCTTCCTTTTGTTCCATCTCATCCACCCGCTAGCTGTGGGGAAACCTTTGATGGTACTTGGTGGGTGCTTGAGAAAAACAGGGACTTTAGCTGGGCCCAGGGGGGAGGGAGAGTGGGGCAGCTGGGGCTGACTGGTTTCTTGGGCTGGAGAGCGAGACTCTCTCGGAGCTGTTGCGGCTTGGAGAAGGGAATTTTGCCATCACCCAGACGGAGCTGCTGCTTCTCCTTCTCCCCTCTTTGTTGGTGGCCTCGCACCCCCTGTCCTGTTGGGATGTGTGGCAGTGACTGTTCCTCAGAGCCCTGCAGGAGCACCGGGACTGACTGCCCGAGGGGGTTTGTGAAACAAAGCCTCTCCTCCATCCCTTCCCGTCTCAGCCGAGAAAGCTGTCACGGGGTCCCTGCTTCTGTGTTCTTGCTGTAGTTATTGTTGTTTGTTTGCCTTGTTACACATACAAGTAAAGAACTGTTATTCCTATCCCCAGATCTCTGCCAGAGAGCCCCTTGATTTCAAAATTACAGTAATTTGGAGGGAAGGGGTTTTCATTCCAAGAGAGGTTCCTGCCCTCCCTAGCAGACACCTGTCTTCCAAAGCAAGACAGCACCTCTGCTTTTCTTTCCTTCCTTCCATCTGTTTGACACCTGCCGCATAGAACAGGGTTAATAAGGGAGCTGACAGTCCTCCAATGCCCAGGAACTCTTTCCTAGTCTGAGCCCCTCTAGTGTCCTAAATATCTAAAACTTCCAAAGCTTACAGGCCACTGAAATGAATGCATTTTCATAACTTTTTTTTTTTAATTTAATGCATATTTCAGGAAAATCAGTGATTTATGGATTTTAATATCTGTACACGTCCACACGTTTCACTGCTTCCAAAAATGACAAGCTCTTATTGCCAGAACACATGAAACACAAGAGGTGACTGGTAAGGCTCTTACACCTGTATTTAGGTGTCAACATAAAAAGAGTCTAAGGAAAGGGATGTATCTAAACTCGTTAAAATGGGTGGATGCACGATACAGCTGGTAAAGCAAAAACAGCCTTTGCTACCTGCAACACACTTCACCATCCCTCCCAGCCTTCAGCTCCCCTCCTGGAGGGGCAGGGCTCTTACATTCAACAGAGTAGCATGTCCTAGGTATGGGTGCCTAAAACACCCATGATACTTGTTTCAGCAGACAGCTCCAATCTCTTAAATGGCATTAACCCTGCACAACAGAGGCACTAGTCAAAAGGCAGTGTCTTTTTTGGGATATACATGATAAAACACACGAAAAAGAGAAATTTTTAAAGAAATGATGAAGTGAAGATGGAATAAACACTTTTAAAAAATATATTGATTTTATTTATTCATGGTACAAAAGGAATATTTTCTTCCTCTACCCCAAAAGATTCTCTTGCACAACACCTAAAGCACACACACTCTATTTTGGAAACGCTTTCTTAGACCTCTTAGCCAATGCCAACACTGGTCCTAAGCACATCTGTTTAAGTGATACATCTAGGGAAGCCAACTAATTGGAAACAAGTTTACTAGTAAAGAAATCCCTGGTGGAAGAAACTGAATCATGAAGAAATAGAGGCACATAATCAGTCACAGTGGCAGCATAAACACATTTACAGATGTGGACCAGGAACTCCAATGAAGTAGCTCCATAGTATCTTTATCCACTGCTCATTAACAACAGTGATGACATTTGCTACAAGACAGTATATGTTGCTAATTCTAAGCAACTAAGAAAATAACAAAGTTTCTAGTAAGACAAGGACCGCAATACTTCAGAGGTACGTTTGTATCAGGAAGCAGAAGTTTTGAAAGGAACACAAAACCTACAGGTTTACTCCAGTGTTGTGCTTCTCCAGAGCTCCCAAGTATTTATGGAGACATAGTTTAAGTCTAAAAATTGTTGATTTAGGCTCCACAGTCCAGCAGTTTACTGTTTTGCACCCAGCAAGTTCCAGAAGCAGGTTACAAAGGTATCCTTTAAGGAATCTTCTCTGATGTTAAGACCTGAGAAGCACAGCAGCGAGCCTAAAAATAGGTGGGAAGAGAGGAAAAGAAAATACTTTCATGAACAAAACCAGCACTTCAAAGAGCTTCTTCTAAATTAGTAGTTTAGTAATCTTAATGAGCATTAGGCATTACATTTCATCTTAATGAAATGAGAGCTTCCAAGACAACATTCTGAACAACTGAAATTTTTAAATACAAATCAAATTTTTGAAAAGAAAAAAGTGGCAAATCAAAATCAAACCTAAACAATACTTTTTTTACACTGTGTCCTAAATTTTAAGGCTTTTCTCAGTAGGAGGAGAATATGGCCATGTTTCACTGATATTTCTGACATGTTCAGGGCCAAAGAACACTTAAGACAATACCTCATTTCAACATACACAATAAATACAGCAAAGCAAGTGATTCAGTCACCAGTTATTTCATAGTTTGAATAAAAGTGTGCCCTGAAGCCTGTACATGCTGAACAGCGCTGGTAAGACACCACAGAATTGGAACATTGGTCCTCCAAATCAATTGAAGAAAGAAAAAGCTTAAGAAATAAAAACCACATTTGACAACCTGCTGAAAATTTGTAAGGTCATAAAAAAGGTAAAATGCCCCAAAGTCAAACACATGGATAGGATTTATAAAAATTTCAACAGCTTAAATCTCTGAATGTATTTTGCATTATGAGTGTAAGTATCTTACATGCTCACACAGTCAGTTATTCATGAGAAAACACTTTATGGAAATGGAAAGTTTAAAAAAGCCTAATTTATATCTGCAAATGGCTGAAAACTTCATATAGGACCTAGAAGTTGTCAGTTGCATCAAGGTGGCATCCATTTATATGCAAAATGTTTTTTGTTTTGATATCCTGTGATTATATGAGCAGAAGGTGGAAGAAAAACAAGATCAAGGAAAGTGAAAAGATGCAAAAAATCCACCATGCAGCCATATATGCATATGCATTTAAAGAAGAGATGCAGATGGTCTTAAATTTTCACAAACAGAAACTGTTTTCTGAGATACTTACAGCTTTCTCTTCCAAAGAGAGCACCCCATCTACAGCCACTATCTGGTATTGCTTTTCTTTTAGGCTACCCACAAATTTCCGAAGTAGTCTGAGACCAGTTCCATCATTTTGTTTCAGCAGTTTCTGCATTTGTTGGGAAGAACATCCTGGGTCAAACAGTAGTAAACATAAGCTTTTGTTCTTCTTCTCCTCTATTCCAACAACAGTACGACTATGACCTAATATCAAAATAAGATTTTCAGTAGTTTAGAAACACATAAATCCCATTTACTACCTTGTAATGTGTGACTGATTTGCAGATCAAGGAAGGCATTACTTGAAATTTAAGGAGATAGTTATAAGAGTATATGTCAAAAAGTTGAGATCCCAATCACATTCAGCTCTTCTATCCAATAGAAATACAAATCTTAATGTTGCTCTTACTAAATAGGAAAATTATGGGAAATAAAACCACACCTTCAATTCAATGAAATGACTAAAAAATGCTGCTCTGAACCGCAGTACATATAAAGAAAGATAGATAATGGTAAGAACCCAGCATATTGTGACACTCACCTTGATGTTGCAAGTAAATAGGTGGTTTGGAAGTACACACCACCTTTGCACCACCTTCATTATCTGTAGAATAGTAGTGCAAAATCCACTCAAACAAGCGAGGGTGTGTACCCACAGGGCCAGTGGGCTTGTGAAAGTCAATGATTTGGCACCTACAAAACATTGAGAATCAAAACAACACTAAAGTTTCAAGCAGGTTGCTTGTTAAAACAATTTTTTCATCTCTGGGTCCCTGCTTCCTGCACCCTGTGGTCTTTACTACTTTCTTATTTTTTAATGCAGGAGTACAGGCCACATAATTACAAAGCAATGAAACATATACTGTCACAAACTAGAAAATTTATTACATAAGAAAGAAGTGCTCTACTCTGTTCAGTCTAACAAGAACTTGTGAAACTTGCAAAAATTAATGTTACATTTTTTTGTATGTGATACATGTACACTAGAGAATCCAATTGAAAGCCACAGAAAATAGATTAAATTCAGATTCTTCTTGAGAAGAAACTTCCAGAGAAACAAAGTTTTCAATCAGTGCTTTAATTTATGCATATGTGGCATAATTCTTCATCAAGTCTCCATGATCTAAGCAGTTACTCAATTTATGTACTTCCTATAAGTAGTTATAATTGTAAGTGGTTACACAGCTTCATGCTGCACTAAATCATATCTGTTTATATATGGTTATATTTAGTCACTAGGGTGGCTTTGTCATCACACAGTTGGGGATGCTAACCTTTGAAGGTACAGTGCTTAAATCAGCAATTAAAAATAACAATCACAACAAAAAGCAATATTTACTTTATCCTGAGACTGGTTAACAGTGAATAAATTTCACATGCTCCTATCCATGCTTTGGAACCATGTAATCTGTTGTTGAAGTGAGATGCCCCCTGAGGATCAAAACCTTCTCTCCAGGCATCTTCAATCATGGACTGAATCTTTGGGATACTAGGAATTAGTGTAGTATCTGGAACAGAAAAGCTTTTGAATTGTTACAGTGACTGAAATAGTCAATTAAAAATATTCAGCTTCTTTTATAACAAGCAGTTGATGTTACAAAGATGCATCAAAGAAACAAAGGGTAAAACTTCAACCACATCATTTCTTGACAGTATTCACTCTGACTCTTTCACAGCAAGTGGAAGTGGTATAACAACCATTTAATAGGTATCATTGACCTTGTAAGACTTGCTGTGTAAATGAAAAGGCAAAACATCAGTCAGCAGGCCGTCATCCAAGGCATGTGGAACAAACAGCATTTTGTTTAATACCTCTCAGGTAGTCATTGTAGAAGCTGTTTTGCAACAGTGAGGAAAGGAGCATTTGGAAATTCCTGTATCCACAACCCCAGCCTCTGTCGCCCAAAGATGAGTGGAAGTGATCTACTCCTGCTGAAAGCCACACATGCCTCACATCTTTGTTCTCATTCTGATAGTACTTGCACAATGCTTCAATGACTCCTAAAGGAAGACAAACCATAAAGTTTATGAGCTACTAAATTTACCAAAAGATTCCTTCCTCAACTTGGAACAGATACAGATGAAGACAATTTATTTTAAGATTTCATTACATTTAGAGCCCAAATCACAAAAGCAGTGGATATTGCCCCAATTTAATTTCAGTGGTCCCTATTTTGATGAATTCATGTACTATGAAGTTTTCAAAACAAAATTATTTTTTCACTTTTGCTACACAATTACTATTGAAAATTAAACAGCCTGGACTAAATTATAAACTGTGATAGCTAAAGGAACTATTACAGTGATACAGAAAAAGTAAGTCACAAATAAAGCATTCCTATGCCTCTGCTACCTCCATTACAGCTTTATAAAAACACGACAATACTTATGCTTACTATGTAAACCTTTTATTCCCACCAAATTATTTTCCCTGGAGAAACTAAGAGGGGAAGGAAAAAAAAAAAAAAGGAATGGCAGCAATGGCACAGAACTTGAGAATTATTGTAAATATTTTTAAATAATCCTCCTGCAGGATATTCCAAGTTCTCCTTTGTTACAGGGAAGAAAATGCTTTGTAATGCTCTCTTCAATTCATATATGTAAATCCTCAAAGCCCTTTTATCGTCATGCTGTTGTGAAGAGAATCATTCCATAGTCACCACAAATTATTTTCTAACAACTTCTCTGAAATCTAAACCATTACCAAGAATGAAAACTTTAAATGTGTTATTTCCATGCAATCCATTTGACAGAAGAAATTTTATTTTCTTGGTTTTCAAGAACTAAGTGGATATTTTGTAAGCCAGAATCACTAGCAATAGGCTCTAAGACCTTTGAATTGTGGTCTTGGAAAGTAAAGACAAGGGAGCCTTTTGAAAGGGACACAAAGACCCACCTGCCCTGTGTTTCTGCATCAACTATAAAGCATTTAAAAGACAATGTATCAAGTAGATGTCTACTCCTCACAGTCCTCTCTTGGGCTTTGTATTCAGGTGAACACTGTGCTTACCTGCCACCACCTTACACAATATAGCCATTAACAGAAACACAAGACAAAAAGCTGCTATAAATTTGAACAGCTACACTGGATTAGGAGCCAATGAGTACTAAGTATTAAACAAGCACAGAGTCAAGGGCAACCAGCTTGTAATAAGACACTTGCATCTTCAATATATATAATACACGTATTTGTGCCCATAACCTGACAACTTGGTTCCAAGTTCCACAGCAAAAAAAAAACCAAAACAAAAAACCAAGCAAACAACCCCCCAATAAAAACAAACAAAAACAAACAAACAAAAAAAAAACCCAAAACAACAAAAAAACATAAAAGCATCCTGCGAGTTAGAACATAGATTAAAATTATACCAAGATTAAATTTCCTTATTACTTTAGGACTATAACAATTTGGATAGATCTAGAAAATAATGTTTAGAATGAGGACACGACCAATACTAAACAATGAATTACATGTTTTGTTAAAGACTGCTTTGATCACTACAATCTAAGGTCTAGAAAGTACAGTTTTGGTTGTATAATTTCAGCAACTTTACCTGATGTCTTTGTTTTGCCATCATCTATACCAGAAGCCAAACTTTCCAGCATGTCAGCTTTTCTCTTATGATATTCAAAGGGCTGCATCCTTCCTCTATCAACTTCTCTTTCCATATTCTTTAGAAATTGCTGCTTGAAGCCACCAGAATTATCCAAGCCATACTGTCTCTGTTAGGTATGGAATGTGCATTACTTAAATCACATTTTAAAATTCACCTTTCGTCCATGCAGTTTCTCAATATCACTATCAGTAACTTTGAAAAATTGTGAGACATAAAAATTTCAGAATTACAATTATTTTAGAGCTGAAGACCAACTCCATTCCTGAACATGAACGTGGGACTAGGAAAGCCACACCTGGAAGAGCAGACATATCCCTCTGTTCCCTCTTGGCAGAGCCATTGGCACAGAGGCAGTCTGGCAAGGAGGTAGTGAGAGTGGGAAGTGAGTCATCAGGGCTGTGAGATGGGAGACAGAGGGAAGCAGGACCTGGAACAGGTGATGGTATTCCAGTAAAGGACAGCCAGGATGCTCAGAGCCTTCGGCACTTTGGCAGGGAATATGCTCCAAGCTGCACTTCAAGGCAGAGCACTAGAGCTGGCTGGAACACAGGCAGCAGGTGTGCTGGGAGAGTAGAACAGCAAGCACGGGGAGAAGCCAGCCCTATCCTGAGCCAGCACCAGTCAAAGGTGTAAAGCCAAGTAGCTCAACGCTGCCATGTCCAACACTCTGCCAGGATCAGCATTGCCGAGAGACTGAATTTGCTTCCAACCCATCCCTGCCATTCCAGGACATTACAATTCCAAGATACTCAGCTTCTAAAGGCACAACAGGTTTTATGTTTACCATTTACAAACCAGAGCGTACCTGCAGCTTTTTAAATTCTTCATTCTCTCGCTTCTCTTCTTCTGATCTCTGCCGTTCATCTTCTTCAGTTTGGAGTTGCTGAGCCAGTTCTAGATCTCCAATGTTTCCACCTATTCCAGAACAACATTCTAAAGTGAGGGGACCTTTTAGGAGGTTAGTAATGCTTTGAGGGATCATTTGTTTAATTTTTAAAGACTCCTTTTAAGCCAACATGTGTAAACAAAATTGGGCATTAATTTTAGGAGACGCATACCACATTATTTTGAGCTATTAGCAACGAATGCTGAACAGGACTGACTGCATTCAGTCTACCAAGACTCAGACTCTTGACTTGGAAAAAGTTTATGCAGTTACTGGAGCAACTACTTGGCAAATAATGCATATACCTGTACCACTGAGAAAACAGCTTTTGTTTACTGTGTTTCACTTCACTGTCAGCAAAATGTCACAGTTGCTTCAATACGACTTACTAGCATCTAAGACCATTGATAGCAGTCTCATAAGGAAGTGACAAAAATATATAGGGAACTGAATAAGGAATCTCTAAGATTCTGTTAGCCATGTTGTAAAATAAAATTAATTTAGATCTTTTTACTTTAACAATACAATTAATGAATGAGCAAAGTATTTGCAGAAATGAATTGAGAAAAACAACGGAGTTTTCATAAGCTATAAATTCTCAACTCATCATAGTGGAACATGACACTGTAGACTCCACTTATGTAACCCTTCTATAGACCTAGAAAACCAAATATATAATACTGATGCCTTTTAAGCATTTTTTGCTCCAGGTTTTTTTTTTGGCTAACATGTAGTTCATTTACTTAGCAATCATGCATAGACAAAGATTTCTTTATTAGTGTGGTAATTAAGTAGAGCACTTGGACAAGTGATAGGATCTTAGCTATGTTAATTTCATTATACATGTGTCCAAGTTTCTTTTAAATACAGAAATATTTATTTTAAATTTTATCTGAGATTCTACACTACAACACGCAAATATTTGCAAATGCTTCCAAGTATTATCAAGCCCATACCCTTGCATATACCTTCTGAAAAGTTATGTTCCTCTAAGTGTAAATCCACATGTTCTTCAAGAATCTGAATGTTTGTACAGGTAAGACTGCACATAGGACATTCATATAGCTGTTCACCATTTCCTGTGTCTGAAAAAGAAACACAGTTTTTTGATGAATGCAATTCCTGAGATTTTTTGCTAGAACCATGCCCTGATATACCATCTAAGACAAATACACAGTAACAAAGTTTGTGTTGCCACTGAAATTCCCCAGTGAAAGGCAGCAATTTCTAAACAGCTGTTACAAATTCTTAAGTGGTGAAGAGAGTATCTAATTACACAAAAATTTTAAGACATTTTCATTCTTTAGATTAAGTTTTGCACCATTTAACTTACAGATTACAATTTGCTATGATAATATCTGTATCAAGAAATGCTTAGTCTGAAATATCAAACCATTAAGAAGATGTGTTCTGCAAACAGAAAAATTCAGTATTCCTGTAATAACACAGCAGTTATTGGGCTGGAAGAATAAAAGTGCTGTCTTTCTTATTTTGTTGGTCATCCCGCATTTCTTCAAATAAATGTTCTTTCTTCAGTTTTATGATTATTATTGAGGGTACCATGTAATATAGGTGAAGCTCAAAAAGATTTCTGGAAATCATCTAGTCCCCTGTAGAATGCTCACATTAAATAGATTAAGTGACACACAGCTTTTCCCAGTATTTTTTTTCAATAATTCCAAGTACAGACTCTTCTCAAACTCCCCAGAGGAATGTGTTCTAGTGTTTAACCACTCTCACAGTAAAAAGAAGTGTTCTTGCATTTAAATGGCATTCTTCATATTTTGACTTGTGCCCACTGCCAGTTGTTCTGCCACTGGGAACCACATACAAGTGCCTGACTCCATCTTTCATGCTCTCCTCGAGTCTCCAGATTTTATCTGCACCTTCCCCAGTTCACAAAACACAAGAGCTGATATCCTGTGTTAGCAGTTTCTGGAAGCCATTTGTCCCAGCTAAATGTTTATGACTGGTTGGAGGAAAACTTGCTGGTATAATCATCTAAATTCACCAGAACCATTTAACGTAAAACTGCAAAATACAGTTTTCTGAAAATATAGTTTTCAGAAACGTGTTAAATACATAAAAAAACCAAAACACCTTAATACAACTATTTTTAAAGCAGAAACTGGCATACAGGCAAGTAAATTATTCAAGCTCTGCATTATCTGCACACATGGAAATAAAATGCTGCTCAATGCTACGACCTGGGGGTGGGTGTGTTCTCGTTGGGGGTGGGGGGTGGTTAAGGAAAACATTTTAATCACAGATTATGCAGTGTGGTTGACTGCACTGGCACATTTTGTATCCTAACCATCATTTATCTAGTCCGTATATGTAACTTATTACATCACAAACGCGGTCCTCTAAGACTGTTACCCACTAGCAGAGACACCACCGTTAAGCTTCTGAAACAACTATCAGCATTCGGCCAGTTAGGTGAAATAAAATTCTGACCACGCCTGAAGTAAACTACAGCATCTAAACATACTTCCTTCGCTCCAACTTTATCCCCCGGCCGGTTCT